TAGGCAAGCAGGTGGCCGGGCATCTGGGTGGAGGGGGAGGCAAGCGAGCAGGCAGGTAAGTGGGCAGCCCCTTGGGGGGAGGACCAGGGAGGCGGAGGCAGCAGGCAGTGGGCAGGCAGGCAGGCAGGCAGGCAGAGCCAGTCAGACCGGGAGGCTGCCCAGACAACAACAAAGAGAGGTCGAGACAGCTTGCAGCTGAAGTAAGAAGTACCCAGAAGGGCCAGAACTTGAAAGAACAAACGGATTTTTGTCTCCTCTGCCTCAACTGAGTCATGTTTTACAGCACTAATACCTACTATTCAGTTACAGTACACCATGGCTCTGCCAGGACTGCAAATTATGGTCGCGGTACAGTGTCAGATGCAACTGAATGCGAAGGACTTCAAGAAAAAGACAGCTTAGAAACAGGCTGCCTCTCCTCGCAATTGTTGATACAAACCTGAGGAAGATCTGTGTACTCCAAGCACCTTTCAACACTGACAAACTGCAAAAACAAGAAATCGGAGAAATAAACGCATGAGAAGACAGGGGTTACGGTTGTTTGAATTTTGTCTGGCTCCTATGTAATTCCCACCGCAAACTTAGTCGAAGCCTCAAATATCATACAATATGCAGTTCTCCACTTGCTCTTTTTTTTTTTTTTCCCTCCATTCTAATCTTCTCTGTACAGTGTATAGTAACTATAGTTCCAAGTTTAAAATTTTAACGGATGTCCCGAAGGACCAGTGCTTCACTCGCTAGAGATGGATTTGAGATCATTTAACAGCCTTTAGCCGTGTCCTATGACTCAAGTCTCCATACCACCGTCTTCTCCCGAACAGAACGCCCGGTCATTACAGCTGTATTTTTGGTGCAACATTCAGTCCAGATACGGCAATAATTACCTGGCGAGGCTGGCGTTCTTTTTTTTTTTTTTTTTTTTTTTTGGGTGAAGACGGTAGTTCTGTCAGCTCTTTTGTCTTGAGAAATTTGCCAAATAAAAGCATATAAGAAAAAGGAGGGGAAGATCATTCCAGGAGTATCGCAGTCTCGGGTTGCAAACCTTATCATCGTTAGGACAGAGCAGTAATTGCAGTAGAGATTCCAGCAACAGGGGTGAGGGCACTGAGGGGTGGCATATCTTTCCTAAGGCCAGGAAGCTTTCAGTGCCGTTGGCTCGGGGTCATTTGACCATACCGAAGGGAAGCTTCCCGGTTTCCAGCTTCGCAATAAAAGTTTCTAAAATTTCTATTCTGTTTTTTTCTTTTTTTTTAAAGAAAAAATTCTGAAAAAAAAAGAAGTTAAAAAAACCCTATACTCTTCACATATGGACATGAGACAAAGAGAATGGCACCCAATCTCATTTCCGTCTATCGATCTTAAGCTGACAAGACTCGCAACAGGACCTATGAGGGATGGGTGGTGGTGATGTGGGATGCCAGTGTGCCGGAGAAATTGACGAGGGCAAGGGTGGGTGGGGTCTTCTGAGAGGAGGTGGGGTTGGTGGGGGGGGGGGGGGGGGGGGGGGGTGAAAAAAAAAAAACGAGCCAGTGGCATGGAATATTTTCCTTTTGCCTGGTGCCACCAGCCTTTTCCTTCTGGTGGGTGAAACCCTGTGTTAACCTCCGCATCAGAAAAAGATAGCTGCGAAAGGGACTGGTGGTTTAAACCACTGGAAAGAGAGGAGGGGGATACCCGGATACGTGCACTGCTGTTTTCTGCATTTCAGTGACCTGAAGTGTGCGATGCAGCAAAAACAAAAGCACTTACATTTTCAGAGCAAGAAGTGTTACACAAGGCGAGTCCATGGCTGAACCGGGGCTTCCAAAAAAAATCATAATCATAAATTATTAGATTTCATAACTACAAATTTACAATATAACATGAGAATTGCCTGCAAAAGAATACGCACCACGTTTTCGACTTCTGTGAACTGCCGCACTGTCCACTGGAAAAGGCCTGAAAGCTGTAGCGAGAAGAGCAACACAGCAGGATAGGGCATAGGGAGAAGTGAGAAGGACAGATAGGGGGCAGTACTCCACGGGGCAAGCTGTGCCTTTTATCGATGTAGTGGTTTTTCAGAAATTTTTGGTTATGATAGTCCAGTTGGACCCGGTTTCCAGCTAAGCCAAAGCTGGGTAATGGCCTTAGTATATACCGGGTTGAGATGTGGATGGATTCCCGGCCTCCTTTTGCAGATGATAATATATAAGCATAATTCGCATGAAAAAAAGGGGGAATAAAAAGCAGAGCAACACAGCTCAAGTCAGGCAAAAACAATCGAATATAAAATAAGGCAGCTTCCATCGCATGCCGAAATGCCAGCCCAAGTTTGTAAACTATCTGATGCCACTTGATCAGCAATGGAATTGAATGGATTCATAAGCATGATGCATCGATGACGATCTGAACTCACTGTCTGTTTCTCTAACTCCATTAGCAGCTACATGTGTATACCGTTCAACCCCGGATGGCATACGCTACCGAATGCCATGGATTTGTCATGGGTCACAAGTTCACAAATTGCAAATATGAAAAATTCAAAAACTGAAAAATAGAAAAGTAGCGGTCAGTTAACTTCCCACTATGGAGGTACAATGATTAACACTGTATACAGAAAAGAGGGTTTAGGGTTTAAGGTCGAAAGGCATCCCAATCAAGGTACAGGAAGTCTGAATGGGTAGGGTTTAGGCAAAAAGGACAATTGAGGGTTTCTCTCCAGAATGATAGTCACTATCTGGCAGACTCGAACACCAGAGCTGAGAGAAGAGAAAGGGTCAGGGCAAGCTGACAGTCAATCCTCCACAATTGTGGAGCAATCGGAAAAAAAAAAAAAAAAAAAAAAAAGTATCCAGTGTGGAGGCATAACAACATCACTACAACTGGTGACCTCTTACAGCATGAGGAGTGTGAAATAACTAGTTTACGCCAGAGAGAGATGGCTGACAGAAAGTAAAATGAAAGGGACAAAACAAGCAACAAAGAACGAAGAAGGCAGTCCCCTCCTAGTTTGAAAAATGGCCATTACAGGGAGGTAGTGCAGAGTAAATGGTGAAATAGAACAGGGGAACCATTTAAAATTTAAATAGGAGGAGGAGAAGTAGGAGGATGAGACAGGAGTAGAGGAGAAGGAGGAGGATAAGAAAGGAGTAACTAGGGTTTAGGGTTTAAGCTCAGGAGGATGAGGTACAGGATTTATTCTTGCGGTGGTACTTCTCGCTCCGGTCCCATGGGGTCCTGTCAAAAGCATAACACTGGGTAAAGTTCCCAGATCCGGTCTTTATGTGGGTTGGCCGGCCCCTTTTTCTGGGTAAGTAATGAATGAGGTTTTTAAAACTTAAAAGAGAGAGAGAGAGAGAGAGAGAGAGAGAGAGAGAGAGAGAGAGAGAGAGAGAGAGAGAGAGAGAGAGAGAGAGAGAGAGAGAGAGAGA